CCCCAAAACCCCAAAACCCCTTAATGCAGAATTTTACTGACCATAAGTTAATAAAATTTAATCAATTATCTAGAGAAGAAATTTAATAGGTAATATATCAATTTAGGTTAATAAAAATTAATATTAGACTCAACAAATGTAAGCTTTAAAAGTAAAGAGAAGAAAGCTAGATTAATAAAAAGATTTCATAATTGAGCCAACGGATAATAGGAAATTGACAGCTTATTTTAAGGAAAGAATAGAGAGACTACAGGATAGGAAGAATGCTGTTTAAATTTTAACTTAAAACTGCATTTATTAGCAAAATCTAAGCTATCCAAGATTTATCTAATGTGCAAGAGATGAAAAGGTGAGTTTACAAACATTATATTAAAATAATAGGGAAACAAAAAGAAAAATGAAGCTGATTATGAGGACAGAGAAGAATAAAGAGAGAGGAAAATGAAAAAGTATGATGAGGATAAGGAATATATGAATGAAGCCAGAGGTCCATTAGGAGGTGGTTCATATGCAGTTAGTGGTGTTTTTGAAGATATTACCAGAGAAAAATTAGAGGAGTTTATAAAAAAGAATGGAGGGTAACTTATTATTCATTTAATTGTTATGTAATTAGTCGATTGGTTACCTAAGTAACAACAAAGTGCGACTATTTAATAATCGGAAAGCTTCTTGATGATGGTAGAAAAGTTTAAGAGGGAAATAAGTACAGAAATGCTGACAGATTAAAAAAGAAGATTATGACTGAGAAAGAGTTTGAGTAGTTTTGTAGGATCAGATTCCAAAATCCAGATTTCTTATTAGGAAGGAAAAAGAAAAAAGACACTACTAATGCTGCTGAAGATCATTTTGTTGCTAATGATGTGAAAACTGATGAGTTAATTGAGATTACTGACATTTCATAACTATTGACTGATGAAAATATACCTTCTTAAAAAGCAAGTGATATTCAATTGCAAAATTAACAGCAGAAGTCAGTGTCATCTTCACTATAGAAAAATAGGTTAAATTTAGCTTAGAATAGAGTGAATACACCAATGACTAATTAAAGTGATGGAAGTTCAGATAGTAACTGTGGAAATTAAACTAGCTCATTGTAAAATGGAGCCTCAAATTAAATCTAGATCAAGAAGGTAAACAAGTAGTCTAATCTCATAAATTTGATTGTGCCAAAGCAAATTATTCAGAGGCCTAAAATACCAGAGTAACAGTAATTATGGACTGATAAATATGCTCCTTAAGAATTGAAAGATGTGATTGGAAACAAAGGACCGATTAACAATTTCAAAGAATGGCTTTAAGATTGGGAAGATGTAGTTCTTCGTGGAATGAAGAAAGATGTGTAGCCCAAGGGAGGTTGGGGAAGGTAGAATTATCAAGATCTTCCAAGGATAAATGCAAAGGCCTGTATGATTTCTGGACCTCCAGGAATTGGTAAATCCTCTATAGTAAGAATATTTGCCAAAGACCTTGGTTATCATTTGATAGAATTCAATGCAAGTGATAATAGGTCTAAAAAGACTATTGATGCTCTTATAAAAGATATGTCTACTAGTACAACAATCAAGAACTTTGAAAATTAATAAGTACAGCAAAAATAACAGTAAAAGAAGAAAATTCTAATTTTAATGGATGAAGTTGATGGAGTTGGTGCTAATGACAGAGGAGGGCTGGGAGCCTTAATTCTTATAATTAAAAAGACTTTAAATCCTATCGTATGTATTGCAAATGATGGGAAACACAGGAAACTGTAAAGTCTAGTTAACCACTGTTATGAGCTAAAATTCTCAAAGTATGTATTAAAATTTATTAATTATTTAGACCCTCGAATGAGGAGATGCTAAAAAGAATAAAGCATGTAGTAGAAAAAGAAAATCTTAAAATTGATAAAGAGGCTGTTTATCAGTAAATATTTGAAATTAGTGGGCATGATATGCGTTAAGTGATAAACATGCTTTAAATGCACAAGACTACATCTGATACATTTAACTAAGTAGATATCAATGCAAAGTAAAAATATTTCTCTATAAAAATTTAACGTAAATAGGTAGAATAGAGTGCAAAAAGATTGGCAACTAATGCACAATCCATTTACAGCAAGCTCAAAATTCCTAAATAGGAAGGAATTTCATCATATGAGCTTTCGAGATAAAATCAATTTATTCTTTATTGATCCTGAAATGATGCCTATGTTTGTTCAGGAAAACTATCTAAGTTGCTTTGGTCAATCAACTAAATATGAAGATTTAACGAGGCTAGCATAAAGCTCAGATTTTATCTCACTTGGAGATAGCATAAATAATCAAATAAGGTCTCATTAGGATTGGTCACTTTTGCCTAATCTTGGAATAATGAGTAGTATTGCGATCGGTGTATTAAATCAAGGATATGTACCTTATTGCAAATTCCCAGAGTAATAATTAAATTTCACTCATATTTTCTAATAGATGGTTTGGAAAGAATTCAACTACCAGGAAATCTTAAAGATTAGTGAGAGAAATAAGGGAGAGATGCGGTCATCACTTATACACAGTCAAAAATGCTATTTAGTTTGAGCATGTCTCTCTAATATACGAATTGATAATGTAATATCTAAATACTGGTGGATAAGTAAGATATATATTGTTTACCAATATTCTTAGAATTAAATACAAACTGCTGTTGAAATACTAGTAGATCTGGGAATGAATGTAGAATTTTTCAAAGAAAATATAGTTCAGATAGTTCCTGATCCTCAAAGAGCTGACATGTTTAATCAGCTAGCTGCATAGATCAAGACCTAATTTACAAAAGCATTTAATCAAGCTTATAAAAGTTCAATCAAAGGGACAAAAAAAGGTAAAGCAAAGGATACTTCTGGAATACCAAGTGGTGCTAATAATGTTCTCAATACAAACTTCGATGCAGCAGATGATGTTGGAGGGACTTACACTGATGAAGATTCACAAAATGGAAGTTAAGATGATGTAGAAATTGAAGTAATAGAGGATAAGAAAGGTAAATAGAAGTCTTAAAAAGAAAAAGAAAAGCAAAAGCAGAGTAAAAATACCAAAGATTCATCATAAGTTTTGGGAACTAGATCTCGAGGTCGCGGAAGAGGTGCTGCTGCATAATAAAGTAAGGAAAATGAAAGTGTTGGTTTTGCAACAGCATCAAACAAAGAAATAAAAAAGAGAGGAAGAGCTAAGAAATGAATTCGAATATAAAATTGAGTGATTTATAGATCTTAATTTCATAACTTTTTATATATCAGAACCACTGGGGTTTTGGGGTTTTGGGGTTTTGGGG